TTGACTATGTGATAACCCTATTTTTATTCTAAAAATATTTGTGGCTCTACATACATAAAGCGAGGCATAATCAACACTGTTACTGTGAAAAAATTATGCTATATAGCGTGAACATAATTCTGCAAACACAGCATTTAAATGTTATACACACAAAGGGAATATAAAGCTCGTGAATATCATCACCCAGAAATAAATTTGACATGCAATTAATGTTAGGATTTAGGACAGGAACAGAATAATCAGAAAGCAAAGGTACCTGATACTTACCTCTATATTATCTCTGTTGACTTGCGTTATTTATGAAGCAGTTATGTTCTTTGTTGTACAAAGTGATAAAATTTTAATTTAATATGTCGATACTTTTACAACAAAAAAGTAAATGGTTGTTAAAAATTATATTTTTAGATCAAAAGATCACGTTAAATGGGAAATATTGATTTCGATATTATGTGTTCGTTATAAATTTCTCCTGATAAAACGAGTGGGTGTTCGGTCAAAATAAGGTTTTGTGAAAAAAATTAAGTGTAATGAAAAAATTAAGTGTAATAATAAGAATTGATTTAAATTTTAAACAATCAAATATTACATTTTCCATAGAAGAACACAAATAAGTCCCGTTTTTTATAAACAAAACTTTTCTGTTTGTTATATACTTTCTTATTTTGAACCTTACGATTACAAGAAACGTCCCCTATCATTTATTGGATATGGATTTAGAAGAAAGCAGTCGGGATTAAGACCAGTAAAATTACGGAAAAAATGTTTCACCGCAGTGAAATATAATTTTCACAGCGCAAATACGGAAAATGAAATAAGAATTTCATATCATAAGTAATTTATAAATATACGTAATATATTAATATTAACAGATATTAATCGACGTACAAATCCTTTGTTATTTCTGGCGATTATGTAATTTATATAAACGGTTGTTGTCAACATTTTTATACATACTTTTCATCTTTTATGTATGCATTTTAGAAATTTTATCAGTGTTGGATAAATATTCATATTTACCGCGTCGGCGGCATCTATTGGGTTTAGCGGTCATTTAGTGACTGTTCGATAGTTTTACTAGTACAATGAACCAATCTAATGAATGTACTATATTTTTTTAGTAATTATACGATAAATAAGCTACATGTGCCTCGTAGGTAACATTTTCTGTAAAAAATAAAAGGTTTATGAACTTGTTTTCTGTAATAAAAAAGCAAAGAGTGAACATGATACTAGAAATATAAATAATGCTAAAAAATAAATTGTGAAATTTACTACTGTTTGATTTTCATACTATAAAAAAAGAACAAAAGTAGTAAACGCCGATTCTGATTGAAGTCAGTTAGGATCCGTTAAACTTTAAATGCCACTGTTTAAGAAGAGAAAAAAGCTAATGAAAAGTAGCGAATGTAGCGAAAACATTAAAATGTTTTAGCTTTTCCAAAAATAAAACAAAAATAAAGTAAGTAATAGAAATATAAAGTAAAACAAATACTTACAAGGCCAAACAACGCGGTAAAAACTCATAGTATATGACAGTACATCGGATAAAAAGATGTTCTGAGTCTAAACAAATCGGGGTGATTTACCATAACTCTATAATTAATTTTGTAACGATTCCTTGAAGCACTTCTGAATCGTTCGATTAAACAGTTCTCGTTCTTAGAATCAATCTTCAGCCGAGTGGAATCACAGAATTAGAAGAGCAGTCATGATGGCGGCTTCTGAATAAGTTTTAAAAGACTCTTTGCTAAGAAATTGCAGCAATAACAACTGTTGATTATACCCTTTTGTTTGTATAATGCTTTCTAAAAATCTACGGCGCCCAATGCATTATCTTATATTTTTCTTCGTTCCCATTAGAAGGAAGAACTATATTAATATAGCTTCCGAAACTTTTGAATATCTCCTTAATTAAGAGCTTGATAAGTTCTCTCTCGATTCTGACACGGAATCAGCGATTTAGAAACGTGACTTTCTAATTCTAGGATCAACAAATCGCACCCGCCTGATTAACATCTTATTGTCTATTTCAAGGTTAAATTGTACGGCCTCGTTTCAACTCATAGGAAGCTACATCTAAAAAATCGTTATCGATTATGATTAGCAGGCAATAGACTGTTGATAGATTGAAGAAAGCGAGCGTTAGTGAACGACCATGAGTTCTTCAATGTTGAACATTTTAAAAAATTCATTTATTAGTTACGACAATCAATCGTCCACAAGTCGGCATAATGCATGTACATGTCATTCGATCTATCATCAGCTACGATTTTGTTTCTTAGGATACATGTAAATTTTTTTCAGCTTCTATACCTGGACTCCTGTTTTATATAAAGTCAAACTTCGTTCCCATGAACTCGGAGGGCCTGGAGAGATCGGTTGTTCGAGCCAACCGAGGTTGAACTATTATTACGTTGATCATAGGCCTAAAGGTTATCTAGTTTACATCGGTTGAATGATAAACACACGTACACGTATCATTCTATAAATAGATAACACTGTTACAATTCACGCCACTTGAACCACGGTTGTAATTAAAGCCGTCCGGGTAAACGTCATTCTTTATTGACTGTTGCATATTTACTTATTTCACGAGTTATTTTCTTTTTATCGTTACCATAATCGGCAAATCAACAATATTACCATAACAAGCAAATTGGTTACAACACCTCTTATTTTGTATCAATAAACATTAATTACCTTTGTCACGATCACGAGGTGTTAACACATGTGTCGCCGACTGTCATTTATTAAGGACATATCGACTTGTCTTTTTGTGTTCGACCGAAAAGGTGTGATTTTCACTATATTTCTGCCGAAGGGACCAGAGATCAGGTTCAAGAGTTCGAGCAATCGGTGTTCGATCGATCCGAGGTAGAACAAAATGTATTATATAGGCATTTTGCCGGGACTGGGCGATGAGTTCGAGCGAAGGGAGGTATGCGAGCGATCCGAGTTCGAGCAAACGAAGTTTAACTGTATTAATAATTTAGTGTTGCCCTGGAAAGATATTTGGTAAGCTTAACTTCTTTATAAAATAATTCATGAAACTTGTGCCATGTCTTGTAATTCACCCATTATTAGTTGTTTCTGATTAAGATTCCAGATCCAGACCTAGAATATGTTCTGAATTTTATGAGTAAAGATAGATACAATGTGATGCCATCAAACAAATCACATAATCCATTTGGGTATTCAGTGATGTCAATATATGAAGTCACGTTATTGTTTGAAAGGTTATGTGACCCTTTCCTATAAATACTCCAGATTTTCCTTAAACTTTGTTAATTGTATTGTTCGCTCTACAGACGCCACATGCAATGTCTTACAGAAGATTCTTTCCAGGAGCTGTAGTACCCAGAATCATTTCAGAAATATTTTCCCCATGATAAATGAGTTAGAATTAAAACATTAACTCCAAGTACTGATAAACATGTGAAGACAAATTTTTCTATGTAACGTAATTTGAGAAAAATAATTGTTCCAGAGGACTCGCAGCCTCTCTCCGCCGGCGTGACATTATATCCTTTAATACATGCAAGGCATTTTGAATGTGAGAAATTCGCAAGTCATGCGATGTTAGTCAATAAACAACGATGTAAATCCCCAAAAAAAGAATTGTAAAATATTGTTTTTTGAAATGTTAGACAAAATTCGTGTTTTATTCATAATCACAATCACTAACATAATTTATAAATGCTGCATCAGAAATTAATTGGGTAAAATAGTCCGATATCATATTATTATCGCATGATGCGGTGATTTTTCTTTGAAGTTCCTCAACTTTTATACGCCAGTAATATGCTTTATTGACAATAACGCATAGGATGTTATCTTAGATAAAGAACACTTCTGTAAAAGAAGTGTGCGTTATGTCAGATAAAGCACCGTAAAATAAGTTCATTCGGCTCATAAATAACTGTGACCGAAGACAAAAACAATAGACTGTTTCACTGGTGCATGAACGTACTTGTTTAAAAACCTTTTAACCCATTTTCCTGAATGCTATTTGGTGCTAGGAGGCATTCTTTGGGGTATTTCATTCAGAGAAGCAACATATAAATTAAAATTTTATGTCTTATCACATTGTCATTTCTATTCATCATGCGATAAAATATTATAATATATCGACCTCTACGGTCCTATAGAAGTATCATGGCCTGGAGCGGCATCTCGAGTTTTCCCTACACAAAATGTTATTGACCTTACGGCCTAGATCATTTTCTGTTGAGAAAAACCCTCGATGTTGCCCCAGGCCATGATATTTCCACACAACAGTCTCGCTATCTATAGTACAGCTAGACATAATATAAATGTATGTTATCCGAAAGACCTCGAAAACAAGGACAAAAGTTACGATATGTGAATATTCATAGAAGATTATGCATAAAAATGATTTCAATTGCTAAAGATAAAACATCACGTCTAAATAAAGTCCATAGCATTTCATACTCCTTTTTAAGATAAGCATTCGAAACTGATTCCTATCCAAATCCTCTCCACAACAACATTATTTATAATAAATCAACAATGTCCGTTTGGTAACCTTTTAAAACACTGAGTAAGCACATGAGAACCAATTCCTTTCCAAATTGCCCCTAAATTTAATAAAATTCGACAATGTCTTTCTTTGCTGGAATAGTTTTAAATCAGTCATGTGAAACTAGATGCACAAACTAAACATTGTAAACAGTTAAAATGTAGAAACGTAACTTCTTAAACAAATGTAGCTGCATTTTTTCTCTTGACAAAACAAATGAACAGTCGCTACGATTCAACAATGTGATTTTCAGCGATGTGGTTTTCCTTTCATAAAACATAGTGTTGATGATTACTTTAAAACAAATGTAATGACTTATAAAATTATTTTGAAAAGGTTCAAAAAAGTTTATTAAATACTAAAACATCTTGGATCAATATTGTCTTACATCTCCTAAGACCAAATTCTCACTGAGATATACTCGCACCAATTATTGTTGACCCTTTTCTTTATATGATCTTTAAACCGACGATGATTTCACTGAATGATCACTCAGTTTTTTGTTGATTTCCAAAGCGTCTTGGTACAACCCTTCAAGAATTTTTGTCAGCCAGTAGTGAGTTGATTTGTATGAAATCGCCCCAGCTGCAGCGCTGCCTAGAATAGGTATCATGAATTTTGCAACTTCTTCCACTGCTTCCGTTATGACAATTGCTTGACAGACAGTCATTAATCCTTTCACTGTGTAATCTATGAGTATTTCTTTCATTTTAAGATCCATTCTCAGCTCTTCTTCGCTCATTCCTAGCATTTGTGCACTTCTGTTGATTGCATCTTGGGTTAAACCGAACTGGTCTCTGTAAAAGTTGACTTCTTCCAGCATTAAAACAAGATCCACAGCCGCGTTAATCACTGGAACTGGAATCGCGCTAGTCACTGCAGATATCAGTGAAATGTTTGGAATTCTTTTTTCGAGTTCCTTCTTCTTCTTCAACATCATATCGTCGGTTTTACTAATAATTGAAAAAACTATGGCCTGTCGTGTAAGTTGTGGTGAATCCTCGATTAGTTTTGATTGTAGCTTAATGAAGTCAAAGTCTTCAGTTTTAAAGTTGTCGATCAAGTAAACGAAACTTTCAGATAAATCAAACTCTTTGAGGTGCTTTAAACAGTTCTTCCGTATTGTTTCCAAGATTACATCTCTACCACGCGGTTCTTTCCTACTTTTTGGCTCATTGGTAATTGCATCGTCTACTTTGGTTCGTACAAAGTAAAACTTTTTACCCATCTGTTTTACTTCGTTTGCCAGCCATGCATCATTTTCCATAAATCGCTCTGATGAAAATATAAGGAAAAAGTCATATTTTGCTAGTTTGACTTCTTCTTTATAATTTTCCCGGTTAAATTCCTTCGTTCCAACTCCAGGTAAATCCCAAAATACTATGTTTTCGTTTTTAGGATGGGTGTAAGACTGGCATTTCATCGTGCATTCTTCCACATTAGTATCAGCGGCACCCACTTCTCCCGATTTAAGTCCCCGAATGACATTGATAAAAGTCGATTTTCCAGATCCTGATTTTCCAGCAACTGCAATATGCAATTCAGTTTCACGCCATTTATTTAATCCTTCTTTCATATATGTTTGTATACCTTCAATACCATTCTTTTTGAACACGTCACTGAGTAACTCTTCTTGTTCAGTAACTTCGTTGTCACATTCACCCTTTATTCTGCTAGCCATCATTTAAATTTGGTTTTAAATGGCACTGAAATATATAACAATTACGACCCTGTTAATCACGGTACAATCGGTTTCAGCAAGATTGGTTTAGTACAAATTATTTAGAATTAAAAAAAATACATCCAATCTACGAGTCTGTTTGTACTGACATTTTTAGCTCACCTGAGCATATGCTCAGGGTGAGCTATTAGGATCACTCTTCGTCCGTCGTCCGTCGTACGTCGTCCGTTGTCCGTTCACACTTTTCAAACGACATCTCCTCTGAAACCATAAGGCAGATCTTAATGAAACTTCAGAAGGATATTCCTTGTGTGAAGCCTTAACAAAGTTGTTCAAAGAATTCCATTCCATGCAGAACTCTGGCCATGGCAACCAAAAGAAAAAACTTTTAACATCTTCTTCTAAAAAACCCAAAGAGCTAGAGCTTAGATATTTGGCATGAAACATCTTCTAGTGAGTGTATACCAAGATTGTTCAAATGAAAGCCCTGGAGTCAAAATTGGCCCCGCCCCAGGGGGTCATTGATTTTCCCTATATGCATATAGTAAAAACTTAAGAAAATCTTCTTTTAAAGAACCCAAAGAGCTAGAGCTAAGATATTAAGCATGAAACATCTTCTAATGAGTGTCTACCAAGTTTGTTCAAATAAAAGCCCTGGGGTCAAAATTGGCCCCGCCCCAGGGTGTCATTGAATTTCCCTATATGCATATAGTAAAAACTTAAAAAATCTTCTTCTAAAAACCCCAAAGAGCTTGAGCTTAGATATTTGGCATGAAACATGTTCTAATGGATGTCTACGAATTTTGTTCAAATAAAAGCCCTGAGGTCAAAATTGGCCCCGCCCCAGGGGTCATTGATTTTCCCTATATGCATATAGTAAAAACTTTAAAAAAGTTCTTTTAAAGAATCCAAAGAGCTAGAGCTAAGATATCTAGCATGAAACATCTTCTAATGGGTGTCTACCAAGTTTGTTCAAATAAAAGCCCTTGGGTTAAAATTGGCCCCGCCCCAGGGGGTCATTGATTTTCCCAATATGCATATAGTAAAAACTTAAAAAATTCTTCTTTTAAAGAACCCAAAGAGCTAGAGCTAAGATATTTAGCATGAAACATGTTCTAATGGATGTCTACTAAGTTTGATCAAATAAAAGCCCTGGGGTCAAAATTGGACCCGCCCCGGGGGTCATTGATTTTCCTTATATGTGTATAGCAAAAACTTAAAAAATCTTCATTGAAAAAAACCAAATAGCTAGAGTTTAGACACTAAGCATGAAACAACTTCTAGTGAGTGTCTACCAAGTTGGTTCAAATAAAATCCCTGGGGTCAAAATTGGCCCCGCCCCGGGGTCATTCCTTTTCCTTATATGTGTTATACAAAAACTTTAAAAAATCTTCTTTGAAAAAGCTCAAATAGCTAGAGTTTAGATATTAAGCACGAAGCATCTTCTAGTGTGTGTCTACAAAGTTTGTTCTAATAAAAGCCCTGGGGTCAAAATTGGCCCCGCCCCGTCTGACATTGATTTTCCTTATATGTGTATAGCAAAAACTTAAAAATCTTCTTTGAAAAAAACCCAAAAACCCAAATAGCTAGAGTTTAGATATTAAGCATGAAACATTTTTTCTAATAAGTGTCTACAAAGAATGTTCAAATAAAAGCCCTTGGGTCAAAACTGGCCCTGCCCCAGGTGTGTCATTGTTTTTAACTATATGTGTAAAGAAAAAAAAATGACCAGCTAGACCTTAGATGTTAAGCATGAAATATCTTCTAACGGGTGTCTACCAAGTTTGCTCAAATAAAAGCCCTTGGGTTTAAACTGGCCCCGCTCCGGGGGGCCTATATACAGGTGAGCGACTTCAGGGCCATCATGGCCCTCTTGTTTCTATTGACATTGAAAAAATTATTTATTTAAAAAGATACTTTTAAACTGATAGTTTAAAAGATATCATGTTTCCTATGTTTGATTTTATCAACGTACAAACAATAAAGATGCCAAAACTCATATCACTTGATATGAGAACCTTGGTGCATGCAACAGTTTAGTAAGTAATCAAATTCCTATTTTCCTTACTAGTAAACTAGATTAAGTTACGAAGCATATCTCTCATAGGTTAATAAAATATATCATTTTTATTAATTAACAATTTGTATTTTAATGAATATCAACGCATGATAAAATCTACACTTCGTTGTGAAACATAATAATTATCATCAGTCTGCACCTGTTTTTTGTCGCCATTTTTTTGTCAACATGTACATAATGAATGTGAAATCTTTGAAAAACATGAGTATCTTATTCTAATTATTTTCTAGTCAATGTCAAATCAATTTACTACTATCAGTAGTTTTAGCTACTTGAAACATTTTCATATGATACATAATCTAGTTAGTGAAAATGGTCACGTATCCGGTTGTTCCTGTTATGGCAAAATAAATAAAATTACGAAATATACCACTTTTACCTAAATATAGTATATATTACTTGATGTATTTCAATAAAAATAAACAAATGATAAAAGATCTAAACTTATGTTTTTAATTATGACCAACAGGAATCGTCATCGTCGTGTCAATTTCATTTCAAGTTATAAAACCTCATTATAAAACTGAGCAAAGTATTATTATTTAAAATGTTGAAATAAGAAAGCGTTACATTCTTTCACTAATAGCGGCATGTTAACGGTCTAATACACGGAATTGCACGAGCGGATTTATTTACTTTAATTTGTGTATTTGTTAGATTAGAGATATTCAAATTGTAGAAAAGTTATAAAATATGCAATCCTATTTTTTTTTGTTGCTGTTGTTGTTTGTTTGTTTTTTGTTTGTTTTTTGTTTGTTTTTTGGGGGTTTTTTTTTAGGGGAGGGGGTCATTCAACATTGTACTTATAAATTATCATGTATCTATTTATTATTTATTCGTGTGTTTTCGGGCGTTTTCTTGTTGGTTGTTTTGCTAAAATGATTGTTTTTGATAAAATGCTATAGAAACACATTCACAAGAACACAACCTTATTACATTGTGTCATTTTCATGAATTAAAAGAAAGACATATTTCCAAAAATTAAAGCATAAAAGTTAATATCTAAAAAAAATATATATGTCAAATCAAAATTTGTTTCAAAGACACTTATTTTAACACTTACCTCTTGCTTTAAATATTATTGCTCCTCTCTTCAAGGTTTAAGATCTAATGTTTGAAGTCAAAACAAACATGCTGTTTGCTAAGTTGGTTACATATCAACAAAGATATACAAAGGCTATTTTACAAGGCTTTGATACGTATTGAAAAGCAATGAACTTTGCCCTTATTCATGTCTATACAATATAAATTAATGTCATTAAATTACTACCATAACTTCATTACTGTTTTTTTCAGAACGTACTGTATTTTTAAAATTAATGTTTAATTTCTTGCCTGACTTTTCTTTGTTTGGTCTGTTTATCAGTTTTTTGTTTGTTTTGTTGTATTTTTTGTTGTTGTTTTTTTTTGTATTGTTTTTGGCGGCTTTTTTTGGGGGGAGGGGGGATGTTTTGAGTGTTTGGGTTTGTTTTTTGTTGGGTTTTTTTGCCTTTTATTTTGTTGTTTTTTTTGTTTGTGTTGTTGCTGTTGTCCTTTGATTCGTGTTTTAAAACATGAACATACATTTAGCTTTCATTCATACCTGATTTGTTTCATTGGATGTACGCGCATGAAATCTAAATATTGGGCAGTTTTCGGTCTATATCTCCTATGTACAAAAAGGTCTTCGTTTAAAATATGAATACCAAATCTATATGTACTGAATGTGAACAATCAGAACACGTATTATTAACATTGTACAAATTTTAGCTCATCTGAGCATAATGTGCTCTGAGGTGAGCTTTTGCTATAACTCTGCGTCCGTCGTGCCTGGAATGCTCCTGGTCTGAAGCTTTTTACATACAAATTGCATGCAAATCTCTGGTTGCCGTTGCGGCAAAAAAGAACGATCTAAAAAAATCTCCACATAGTCAGTAGCCAAAATATTTGGCATGAAACATCTTCTTGTAGGTCTCTTTTAATTGCATACAAATTAAATCCATAGGGATCAAATTGACTCAGTCCAGGGTGGTTACTGATTTTCCTATATAGACATTGTAAAATCTTAAAAGGCTTAAAAAGTGTTCACTTAAACCATGAAGGGTAAAACATGTGATACTGTGAGCTTAATATTGTCTAGTGGACCTCAATTGCAGAGAGACAATCTTGCTTATAGTTTGACAAAGCTATTCTTATAGTTGTTTAAAAATTATAGCCGGATAATAATAAAAACTGGTAGAATTGATGTGAAATCGGACAAACAAAAAAGTTAGACCTCAGTTGCTTAATTGTACATATTTTCAATGGGAGGATAAAATAACTTCGGCAAATATTGGTTTTCATGAGGGGCTGACATTTGCTATATCAATCTTTAAAAATATAAATTATTTCATTTTAATAAGTAACTAACTGGTTAACATTATTGAACAAATATGTAATGTTATTGTTTCCTGAAATGGAACTGAACGGAGTCGCTAAAGAACGCCTAAGACGACAAAATTGTAAATGCTGCAGGTCTGGTCTGATTGAGCCTGTTCATGAACGGCACTGTAAAGTGCAATCAAACGCCCAGACGCCCCCCCCCCCCAGCCCAAGCACCTGCTTAAGTAGTATTCAACATTTAACCCCCCACCCCCCAGCCCAAGCACTTGCTTAAGTAGTATTCAAAATTTAAAATTAATTTGTAAAATTTTGAATTTTGAAACATTCGCAGATATATCCATACGGCGGTTATCATGGAACCTTCAATGTGAAACGTACGTGCATTTCAATGACAAGCGACCTATGGTCTCCAAATAAAATAATGCGTGTGCCTAAATTCGTGTTTGTATAAATAAATTTAAATCAGTGGATTATCGAATCCAGTTATGGGAGGATCAAAACACTTGAATGACTAAGAAAAAAATGCTTTGAAAAAAATCATTATTTAAAACCGTGAAATAAGTAAGCAATTAGTCGTAACACCAGTTTATAATTTTGTTTACTTTTAGCGACATTTGAAAAGCCTATGACACGAATGACAAATTGAGGAAAAATTATGAAATCAAATATATCATTATATTTAGTTGTAACTTTTTTGTCTATTGTGTGTATTTTTACTCATTTACAAGAAACAACGTTTTTATTCCTTTTTCCAGGAATAATCTGCTGTTAAATAAACATAATATCATATCATGTTAAATAGAAGTTATAAAACTCTTCATTAAAATGTTAATTTCCGAGAGGAATATATAAACGCTTACCTCTTGCTTTTAATATTATTGCTCCTATTTCTAAGGTTTAAGTTTAATGTTTGAAGTCAAAATAAACACTCTGGTTGCTTAGTTGGTTACATATGAATAAATATATTTATATACAAAGAGTATCTGGCAATGTATTGATACGCACTTTCCTATTCAATTTAAGTGTCAGTACAAAATGATTTTTGTCTAACATACCATATCCATAAACTGAATGAACAAACAATAAGGCATTTATAGAAAATATTGAATGAGTGTAATTTCAATACTGAATTTATTGAAAGAGTTGAATAAAGTTATGTATTTCGAGCATCTGGCAAACTGCTTGTGAACGTTTTATCTTTTATTTAATGCAAACAGCTTTGACGAAAGCTTTGAAAATATTGAATGAGTGTAATTTCAATACTGAATTTATTGAAAGAGTTGAATAAAGTTATGTATTTCGAGCATCTGGCAAACTGCTTGTGAGCGTTTTATCTTTTATCTTTTATTTAATGCAAACAGCTTTGACGAAAGCTTTGAAAAAATATAAAAGACTGTAAAAACCTTTTTAGCAGACCTTGGTTTCAACAAACAAAACAATTGTGATATATTTGAAAAGGTAAAGTCGGGGATTACTCTCAATGTAAAATTATATATAAAACACAACAAATTATTCTTTCAACAGCCGAATTCCTGCGCTCCTTGCAGATCTAAAAAGTGTGCGGTTTGTCCATACGTCATTGAATCAGACACATCTGTTGGTGTGAACGGGGCCTCGTACAATGTATTGTATGCAGTCTATTGTAAGCGTTGCGAACGTTATATTTATGTTGGTGAAACAGGGGATACGTTGTACCAAAGACAAATTCCCAATTTATCCAGAATACGGACAAAGTACAACGATCCGTTAGCGGCGCATTTTTACACGAACTACCACACAGTTAATGAATTTTCAATAATGGGGCTGGAAAAACTATACGGGAAAAACGAATACCGAAAAACAATAGACAGTTTGTGCAAAACTAAATTGAAAACCTATAAACTATAATTATGGAGTTATTACCAAAGAATAACGCGACAGACGGCAAACAACGCCACGGCGGGATATATATAGTAGTTTTTGGGAAATGCAAAGTATAAAATTCGTTAAACTTTACACGTTTATTTTTGTTGGCGCTTTTAACATATCTTCAGACAGTAACGTATACTATAATCATAACAAATATAACAATGACGTAACGTTATACTAGTGCGGGAAACGTAGAAATACGACGTTGCGCGGTAATTGAAATATTCTTTTACTCTTATATTTACGGTGACACAAAGGTGACATGTGTGTGCTTTTATTTATCTCGTGCGCACGGGATACTATGTCGTGGCCACGAGTTACTAAGTCGTGGCCACGAGATTGCTAAGTCGTGGCCACGAGATACTATGTGTCAGGATGGGAAAAAAAAGAAATACAATTCTTATACAGGTTTCTAAGTTTATAACAAGTATTTCGGCATCAACAGAAAATAAATAAATACAATTCTTATACAGTTTTCTAAGTTTATAACAAGTATCAACAGTATATTATTATAACAGTGTTTATACTTGATATAAATACATACCAACTTATAAGTTTGGATAACAATGTCGTTTGTAAGATTTCATTGAATTTGAACTTTGGCAGTTTTAAAACTTTATGTACATTACTTGGAGGTCAAGTCCGCGAGATAATATGTCGTGGCCACGAGTTACTACGTCGTGGCCACGAGAGAACTAAGTCATGCGCACGAGATAATTAGCCAATCAGAATACACTATATATATTATGATTTTTTTAAACTCAACAACTTACTTTAAAATGCAACATTTATTTTTGAAAACACTGAAGATATTCACTTTGAACTTGTCTTTAGGATCATATAAATAAGTCACCTTCCAAGGCCTATCAGACAATAACTTTGACTAAAGCCCTTTGTTGGGACAATTTTGTGATCGAATTGGTCAGTTTGTATGTACTACGGCCTGTTAACCTTGTTTATACGATAACATGAGAAGGAATAAGTCCTGGTTTATTTTATTTGGAAGGGACATTGCCTATGGACAGTAGATAGCCTATAAGGATGTTTGAGGTCAAGGGTGGTCAACCTTGACACTTCATGTAAAATCCTTGTTTGATGAATAATTTAGAAGGGATAAAATATGAAAAAGAAGATCAACAAGGAAAGGCGGCGTTCAATGAACGCAACCCCCATATGACCAAGCAACAAGAACCAATGGCAAGGAACCCAGGCGGACCCCAAACATAAAAAGGACAGGGCAACGACACGTTAATCATTAAATGATAAATAATTTGTAACTGATTAGGAATTCAAAGAAAATAATAATAGGCCCACAAAGGGGAAGGGGACAGGAGACCGGGGGAAGGGGGGGGGGGGTTAATTAAAGAAATAAAAACTAGAGGCAATGGGGAAGATACTTACCGTAGACGAGAAAAACAACAAGGGACACAAGCAAAAGTGTCACCAAAACAGTATGAAACAACATAGACATACATCTGAGGCCATGGTTAAAATAACCCAGAAAGATCATTGCACCTGAACAGTTGATGACATCTAAAAATTTCAGAATCAAAAGATCATTGGGTTAAAATTCAGGGTCACAGTGATGCTAAATGTAAAATGTCAATAAGTTGTATATATGGCACTTTTACAGGCTGGTGAAGTAGGGGCATCTTTGTATTAAAGCACATAACTAGTTAACTAGGGATTCATACAAATGTTGTAATCTGATTGGTTATTTATCTCGTGGCCATGACTTAGTAACTCGTGGCCACGACATAGTATCTACAGGCCACGACATAGTATATCGTTGCCAAAACTTAGTTATCTCGTGGCCACGACTTAGTAACTCGTGACCACGACTTAGTAACTCGTGGCCACGACGTAGTCTCTCGTGTCCACGACATAGTATATCGTTGCCACGACTTAGCTATCTCGTGATCACGACTTAATAACTCGTGGCCACGACATAGTATCTCCAGGCCACGACTTAGCAATCTCGTGGCCACTACTTAGCTATCTCGCGGTCACGACTGAGTAACTTGTGGCCACAAGATAGTATCTCTTGGCCACGACTTAGCTATCTCATGGCCACGACGTAGTATCTCGTGCGCACGAGATAAATAAAAGCACACACATATGTCACCTTTGCGCCACTGTATTTATAAGAACTATAGAATTGCTACAAAAATACATAGTGAAAATATTCTATAAAGGGAGGTACTTTTTAATATAAGTTAGCTAAATGGGTAAAAAATTGTCAGAATTTTTTACTTGAAACCATGTGGAAATGGAAAAATATTTACTAATATAAATGTAAAGATTTTTCATGAACCTCATAGACTGAATACTCTATTAAAGAGAGGTAATAAATATGCTTTTAAATTAAATACATTGACTTATCATAGAAGTAAATGCACAATTTGTATTAATAATAAGTGCTTTTTGAATAAGCTAAACGAGTAAAAAAACATAAAAACAATAACAAAGGGCTAAAATTACAAAGCTTTTTCATCTTCGTCTAAATCATATTCAATAAGATATTTTTATTGAATAACTAAGATATCAAATGTGCAAAAAGCTAGCTGTTAACATTTTACGAATATATTTGATATTTTTTCTGGTATTGAAACTGGTAAAAGCCATTGTTAAAGATAAGTGCCTTTTAAAGCTGACACATTTGGTAGAAGTGTCTACTGCTTGATTTGATTTGTAACTTTCAAGACACACTGTAGAAGATAACACTAAAACGATATTTGGCATACCAGATAACATCTGCGAATGATAAGTGAATAGACAGGTATCCTGTTCTTATTTTTCTGATATTTTCCTGATGGTGACTTTTAAATCTTATAAATAGAATATGTTATTTCTATTTAAATAGAATATATTATTTCTATCGTGTATATTTTTTAATCAATAAAATTACATATATACCAATAAAAGTATGCGTCCTTCAGCTTGTTATATTAAACCCAGTTTTTGGCATTTATTACATATTCATGTAAACATAGTCGATTTCATAATAAATCATTTTAGAAATTGAACGTTTATAAAAAAAAATTCTTTAATTTTCATATTTATCTTTTACTTACGTTTTACTATCATTTTACCATTGAGATGATTTTTACATAAGTTTTGCAATAGATCCATATGCTTACTTCGTCGCTGACAGCCGCTGCTCATCTTTCACTCTTATTCCAAATTCCCTCTTATTATTACATGCTTCTCGGTGGTTTATAGAAAAAAAATATCAGTGATGTAAATAACTGATATTTCACTATTTGAAACAGTAAAATTATCAATTTGAGAATTCTCACAGTTTTAAATTTAAGCCCGTTACGTGATTTCAGTAAAATACCAGCGTGCATATTACTGGAAACCGACTTACTGACGTGACGTCGTAAATAACGTTACTTTTATTTTATTTGGCTCGCTTTTTATTAAGCATTCGGTTACAACATCTTTTTAAACGTTTATTTGCATACAAATAAAAAGAAAATTTGTTTAGTTTAGTGTAAGATCGAAATATATTTCAGCTTGTGAACACCAAAAGTTCATATTTGGCTGTGCAACTCGTGAAATATACCTTTTTGTGCTCACTCGCTGAATTATATTCCTATTTTACACTGAACTAAACAAATATCCTCTATTTATTTTTCAATAACTTCTTCAAAATACGGAGTAAAATTGAAACTGATCAATAACGTTTTACCGCTTTTATTAAGTTAAAAGGAAAGTAATCATTTATTTCGTTTAAGTCTTTTGAAAATAAACAGGGTGTCGTTTTATCAACGGTTCTCTAACCCCTCAGTTTTGAATCACAATTAATCTCTTCTCTATAGTGTATACGCACACATGCTAAACATAATTTATTTAAATGCTAACAATGTTTTTATTGGTTGGTTAGTACCTGATTGCCCTAAACGATACATTATGTTGATTGCAGCGTAACATACATTGAATATTATAGTAAAGGTTATATTTACCCAGACTGTAAAATAGAGATACTCCGAATTCAGGAGATATGGGTTTTGCCAACTAATCTGGGCATAAAAAAATTTGTTGAATATATCCGATAATAAGTGTCA